GCCCGCTCTCCCCGCTGCGACGCCCATGGGCCCACTGCTCGCGCGTGTCCAGGGTCACGGGGGGAGGGGCCGGGCCGGGACACGGGGGGACCCTGCCCCAGCTCGGGGGCGCGGCCCCGCTCCCCACCCCAGCTGCACGGAGTGGGGCAGCCCCCTGCTGGAAGCCCCCCGCAGCCGCACCGCCTTGCCCCTGCCGGGCTGGCCTGGGGGGTAAATTAGCTGAACCCCACCCCCGCCAGTGGTCCTGCCTGGGAGCCCCCCAGTGCCCCCACCCGGCTGCCCTAGGGCAGGGGGCAGGTCCCGGCTGGCTCCGGGGGCTTTCACTGCCCATGCCCCCCCATACCCCTCCTTCCCTGCCAGGGGCATCTGCTGCCGATGCGCCGCGGGTAATTTCACCTGTCGCTCACCTGGAGGGAGCAGGGGGAGAGCTGAGAGCCAGGCCCCAGGGGAGCCGACGGCCCCTCCCCGCACCCCCGTGCCATGCAGGGGCACCAGGCATGGCGGGCCAGGGTGATGGGGGGCTGCAGCCCCCCAGAGCTGGCTGCAGCTGGTCCAGGCTGGATGTGCCCCCCAGGGCAGCCCCCTGGACGTGGGAGGCTGGCAGGGAGGCTCCAGGGCTGGTCCCAGTCCCTGCTCCGCTGGGCGGGGGTCCGGCGCACGCGGCCCGTCACCCCCCGGGGGCCTCACAAGGGCCAGGTGTGCAGTGGGCCCCAATCCTGGGTAATGAACGCCCCCCCCGGGGCTATTTCGGACCCTGTCCCCCATGTGCCCACCAGTCCTGGGCAGTTGCCTCAGGAAGAGTCCTCAGCTCCTGTTCCCCCTATCCCCCCCCCCGAGGCAGAGCTGGGGGGGGAAGGAGGAGATTCCCCCCTTGGCCGCAGGTCCCCTCGCTGCGGCTTAATGAAATATTGAAGCATCGCGGCGGTGACAGACAGCTGCCTGCACGGCGCCGCACGGGGGGGGCACCGGGGGCAGGGCTCCCTAGTGGGTAGAAGCAGGGCTGCCACAGGCCGCATCCTGCTGCGTTTCAAGCTCCCCCCCCGCCAGGGCATCGCCCCCCCCGGTACCAGGGCAGGATCCTCAGGCCGCCACGTCCCCAGGGGGACGGCCGGATCCATCCCAACCCCAGCGGCCCCTCGCCTGCGAAATGGCAGCGCGGCCGTCCATCACGGGCCTGCCACAGCAGCGAGATGGATCTCTGCGGGGCGGCCGCGCCGGCTCTGGACACGCGGCAGCTATTCAGCATGCAGGAGGCGTCGGCCGGAGACATCCATCCTGTCCTGCCGGCAATTAGGAGAGCGGGGAAAGAGCAGGGCAGGTGGATGGGGGCGCCGGCACCACGGGGCACCCCACCCGGGACTTGGGGTGCCCCTGCCTGCCCAGAGGTCCCCTGCTGCTGGGGGGGACCCCACACTGCCCTGGCCCCAGCGAGGCCCAGCTCCCCCGCGCAGGCCGTGCCGGGCCGAGGTGGCGGCCGGCATCCACGCGTGAGGCCTGGCTGGCCCCCCACGCCGCCCGGGCTCCCCCTCATTGGCGATTCGCCTCATGCGCCCCCGAGCCGCACGCTGACAAATAGACATTTAAAGCCGACAATT